TAAAACAGTCTTTAACAATTTATTTGTATGTATCTTTCGATTTATTAACCATTTGTCTCAATATGCACTCTATTGGTATTATTTCTTTTATAAAGAAACAATCATTAAATAATAGGTTTTTGTTCTTTTAAATTGTCAGCCCATAATTTCTTTAAATATTAGCAGTGAAATTTTTCAGCAAAATGAGAAGAGGAAATAACAGTAAAGGGTAATAACTTTGAAAGCCTTGTATCCCACGTGCCTAATGTTAAAAAGAGTTAGAGTAAATTACACGAATGGTCCCTATGGTTTAGTGTAATTTGCGTATTTGGTCATTAACTTATTTTTTTAACTCGGAAGGTCTCTACTGTTTGTTTTTGTTACGCGCTTGGTCCCTGTCTTACCTAAACAGACTATTTTTCCCTTGATTTTTTAATTTATTTAAATAAACACACCCCCAACCTCATCCCCTCACCTTACCTTACCTAACACACAATTTTTCACTATTTAAATAATAGTCTTTTTAGATAAGACAGAGACCAAGAACGTAACAAAAACAAATAGTAAGGATCAAACGCCTAACAAAAACAAATAATATGGACCTTCCGAGTTAAAAAATAATTTAGGGACCAAGCACGCAAATTACCCCAAACCATAGGGACCATTTGTGTAATTTACTCAAAGAGTTACAACGTTTGTTTTCTCTATTAGGGGTAAATTACATCATTCGTCCCTCGTGCAGGTGCTAAAATTCATGTTTAGTCCCTATTTTCAAAAATTAACTCAGACCGTCCCTATGTTTGTTTTTTCTTGCATGCTTAGTCCCTATTGACATAAAATGACTATTTTACCCTTAATAATTTCTTTTTTCATTTTTTTTATTTCTTTATCAGTTTTTAGATTTTTTTAATAATTAGACTTAATATCAGAGTTTCTACCGCCGCTCCACCTCTTCCTTTCTCTCAACTTTTGTTGCTCTACCAGAACAAACCTAAATCGCATGGAATAAACCCCAAGCAAACCTTAAATTGCAGCGACATCACCTGGATTAAATTAAACAAAAACCGATTTAAGGTTAAATCCCCTTGAACAAACGATCCACATCGATGCTTAATTTGTGTATGCTGGTGTGGCGGAAATAGAGTCGTCGATGGCAACAATCACCCCCACGAAGGCGACAACTAGTTAGTGTCGATCCCCTTAGGTCTATTTATGGTTTGGAACTCAATCTCTCCGTTCTCTCCTCTTCTTAGTTCGATTTGTGGTTTGGAAATTTACAATGCTTCAATCATTGTCACTGTGAATAACAAAGCTTAAGGCTATGGTCTTGGAGATTTGGTTCAAAAGAGAGAAGGATAGATAAAAGGGGTGGGACAAGAGATGATAACATCGGTGGTGATGAAGATGTTGTCTCCGGAAAGGGAGAGAGGAGGTTGTTTCCGACGGAGATGAAGTTAGTTTCCAACGGTTTCTACAACCACCCAAACCCACCGATGGGGTGGTGGGGTTTGTGTGTAGCTTTAAGTTATGGGGTTTGATTTTGGGAGATAGGATGGTGGATCAGAGAGAGTTTAGAAGGTGACGACGATGCGAGCTGTTAGGCGAAGTTGAGAGAGATTGATAGTCTGTGTTATGTGCTGGTGTCGATGTTTCATAGAAGAGAGAATAGTTTCTTGATGCACACCGGAGGAAGATGGGGTCAGTGAGGTGATGTT